AAACCGGGCTACTCCTTGGAGGCAAGGATTCTGAGGCTTCATCTGACATACTTTGGACATGTTGTAAAGAGGAAGAGGTCCCCTCTATGAGGTGGATTGATTGAGTGACTTGGGTAGTCGGGATGGGTGTGTCAGAGGCAGTGCGATTGGCACAGGATAGGGCATGCTTGGGAGGGTGGAAGGACATTGCAGGAGGGGAAGACCCTCTATGAGGTGGATTGATTGAGTGACTTGGGTAATCGGGATGGGTGTGTCAGAGGCAGTGCGATTGGCACAGGATAGAGCAGGGTTTAGGGCTGCTGTACATAGGGTCGCTATGAGTCGCAAGCGACTCGACGGCACATAACAACAACAACAACAACATAAAATGAAAAGTCACAGTCTTTTTCCTTAAATTGTTAATAATAAAGAAGATATATTTTTTTAATACTATCACATAAAAGTAAGTTTCTTTAGGAGGCAAATGTTTTGTTTTCAAGAGGATACTAAAGAAAATGGCCCTCTGTTCACATGGTTAAATTAGGAAACATTGGGAAAAGTCTTCAGAAAAGAAAGGATTTTGAGGCAAGACTTTACTATAAGCAATTATTACAAGAGTATTGCTAGAACACACAGAAAATCATGATGTGTTCTGGAAACTGTAAATTCTTGAGTATTCCTGAGTTATGAGTTAGGGAGTAATAAAGATGAGTTTGTAAAGTTGTAATTCTATCACATGCAGAACTACACCTCTGGATTGAAGGAGAACTTCGTAGCAACCTGTGATATGCAGATGACACAGTCTTGGTTGCAAAAAATGCGGAGGACTTGAAACATCAATGAAAGCTCAATAACTCTAATTTCTGTAATCCATTCTCAGTATGGATTATACGCCAACATTAAAAAACACAACACTAAATCCTTTTAACAACAACCTACATCATAAGAAAAGATTGACTTTAAGGATTTCATTTTACTTGGATTGACAATTAGTTACTATGTAAACAAGCAGGAAACCCAACACAACTGTTTATAAAAAACAAAACTACTTCAGTTTCACAAGCTAAAATGAATATTGCATGTTATAGTTAATTGTACTTATTCAAATTAATTAAAATTTATCACCCACAAAAAGAAAAAAAGAATAGATTTGAGGCTTTGAATACTAGTAATCAATGGCCAGGTGAGATGATGTCAGGGGTATCATCTAGGAAGAGAGTAAAAGGTCCTTACAAAGCCAGAGGAGAAAGAAAAACCAAAAATGGATGTCAGAATAGGCTCTGAAAATTGCAGTAGAACATAGAGAAGTCAAAACAAAAGGAACATTGCTGAAGAACAGAACAGAAGATTTCCAAGGGCAACTCAAAAAAACAAAGCAAAGTATTATAATGGAATATGCAGAGCGGTGGAATTGGAGAATAAAAAGGAAAGAACTTGCCCAGCATTTCTCAAGTGAAAAGACCATAAAAACAAATTCAATACTCAAGTTGCAGTACTGAGAGATGGTATGGGCAAAATATTGAATGATCCAGGAAGCATCAAAAGAAGGTGGAGGGAATACAATTTCGTTGTACCAAGAAGAATTGGTTGACTCCAAAATATTTGAAGGAGATGAATGAAATCTACAAAACATTATCAAAAGAAATTAAAGAAGACCTAAATAAATAGAAATGGAACTCTCATGGCCTAGTAGTAAGGAGCTGTGCTACCAACCCCAAAATATAGTTCAAATCCACCAGCTGTTCTGTGGGAGAAATATAAGAAATCTTCTCCCATGCAATTTATTGCCTCTGGAAATCCACAGGAGGGTTGATTCTTAGTTAGTTCCAACTTGATAGTACCTAACAGCCACAAACAAGTGGGAAGACGTGTTTATGCCCTGGGAGATTTAATATTGTTAACCAAACAGAGACACTTCTATTGAGTTAATTTTCACTCATGGAGAACCTCTATGAAGTTTGTGAAGCTATAAATCTTTGTTAAAGGAGACTATCCATCTTTGTTATGTGGAGTATCTGGTGGGTTTAAACTGCCAAGCTTTTGGTTAGCAGGAAGGTGTCATGTATTAACCAAAATAATTTGCCTATTCAATACAATCTTTATCAGAATTCCAACAGTTTTTTCCCCTTCTCTGAAATGGAAAAACTGATTCTTTCATTTATATGAAATTTTTAAGGGCCCCAAAATGCTGAAATAATCTTTAACAAAAAGGTGAAAAATGTATACTTCCTGGTTTTAAAACTTATTACAATGTTGGCTAGTCCGATAGTAGTTATCAGAAACTATTAACATTAGTGCAATTAAAGTTGGTATACAACCCTCCACTGCTGAATTTGACTTTGGCGGGGGGGGGGGGGTCAATTGTAGAAAAAATCCTTACTACAAAGCTACAGTAATCAATATAGTGTGTACTGGCATAAGGATGATATGGACAAATAAGAAAAGAATTGAAAGTCAAGAAATAAACCTATATTGTGGTCAGTTGGTTTTTGACAGGAGCATCAAGTTTATTAAGTGGGGAAACATGACTTCAACAAATCATGCGAGGACAACAAGATTTCCACAGGCAATTAACAAGAGAATGCTTGTGTCATATATCCTCATATCATATCATTCCAAATAACCTGATACCATAACAAGTTGACTCACTTAAAATGGATCATGACTCGAATATAAAAAGCTAAAACTATAGAACTCTTAGTAGGACTTTGAATTTGGGAATGGTTTCTTAGAAGCAGGAGCAATAAAAGACTGCATATAGATAAATTAGGCTTCATCAAGGTTAATTTTTTGTATGTCAAAGGATACTATCATTTGAAAAATTTAAAAATAAAAGTGAAAAGATAGCTTATATGTGGGGGGGGGAATGTGCAAATAATTATCCACAATATTTGAAGAACTCAACAACAAAAATCTAAAAAAGGGCAAAGAATTTGAGTAACTATTTCTCCAGAGATACATAAATGGCCCATAAGCACATGCAAAGATGTTCAGTATTATTAATTATTGTTGTGTGCTTTTGAGTTGGAACCAACTATTAGCTAACCCTCCAGTGGGTTTTCAGAGGCAGTAAATCCATGGGAGGAGATTGCCCATCCTTCTCCAGAGGAGCAGCTGATGGATTTGAACCCACTGATTAGGAAAATTTAAATGAAAACCACAATTAGAGACTATTTCACACCCAGTAGGATGACTGTGTTGTGGGGGGGAAGTAAAATGACAAATATTGAAGAGGATGTGGAGTAATTGGATCCCTCATGGGTTGCTAATTGAAATGTAAATGATTTTGCCTTGTGGAAAAGAATTTGGAGGTTCCTCAGAAAAGTAAACAGAATTACTGTGTAATCCAGCAGTACCACTCCTCAGTATGTATACTCAGAAGAATTGACAGCAGGGATGCAAACAGATAGCTATCTACCAATGTTTGTTGTAGTCAAATGATAGAAACTACCCAAGTGTCCGTAAAAATATAGGTGATGGGATAAACAAAATGTTGTTTTACAAGGACTGTGAAACTTCAGTCTCACATACTTTGAACAACCAGGAGTAATGATTTTTAATATTATCTGGAAGGATACTGCCTTGGAAGCAGGAGTGGCATCCACTTCCTAAATAACATGACTCCAGAAACTCTGTAAACTTTGATAAATGTAGGTAGTTGTTGAGGGGTTTCAGGCCTTTTGTTCATAGGGTCACTCTGAGTTGTGCTCAACTTGAAGGCAATCAACAACAATGACAGCAATCAACAACAACTACCTTCTAATGGAATCCAAAAAGAATAGGAAATCAATACCTGACCCCCAAAGGATAGAACCCAAGTAGACATGTGGGGTTTTTTTCTTTATGCTTTATTTTCCCCTTTAGTTTCTCTTTTTGGTCAAAAATGTACCACATGAGATGAGGTAAGGAAAACAAGTTCACATGCTATAAAAATGGATATCAAGGGCCTTGTCGTGGAATGTTGGAATAAGAAAATACTTGGAGAAGGATAAATGGGAAAGATATTTTTAGAAAGAGTCTCTCACAGAATAATCTGCTTTGATATTAAGTGTGTTTTTTTAAAAAATTTGCATTTTCTATATGCACTCCCATGTTTATTGCGGCTTTGTTCACAATGGCAAAGAACTGGAAACAACCCAAGTGCCCATCAACAAATGGAAGAGAAGCTGTGGTATATTCACACAATGGAATACTATGCTTTATTGAAAAACAAGGAACTCATGAATTATTATACAAAATGAGTGACCTTGGAGGACATTATGATGAGTGAAATATCTCAGTCACAAAAGGACAAATACTGCATAATGTCACTGTTGTCAGGACTGACATCAGGGTTGGGGGAAAACTAAGAAAAGGCGATAAATAATGTATACTGCACTGAAACAGATGAGGGAGAGAACTGTTTAAAAGGGATATATGATTAGATTGTCATGACCAGTTCAGAAAAAAAGCTGCATAGTAGAGTGGATTCGAGGGGGGGAGGGAATTGTATAAAAATGATTTTTTTTTTTACTTTTCAAAGAGAAAACTGGAGGGAGGGATGGACAGGGAGGAAAGTGCAACAATTACTGAACTGAATGAAATCCAAAGTCTCTGTAAACTTTCATTAAAATTAATTTTTAAAAATTTTCTTTTCCTGTCTGATTGCTATAAAAATGGATAGTTAACTGTGATGCTTGAAGGAAAAACTTCTAGTATGTTCCAGACATAGAAAAGATGTACATTATCACTGGAATGTTAATAAAGATTTTCTTTTTAAAAAATTTTTTTAATTATTATTTTGTGTGTGTGTACCATCAAATTGGATCTGACTGGTACAGGCGGAGATTGCCCCGCCTTCTCCAGCAGAGCATCTGGAGGATTCAAACTGCTCACCTCAGGGATTACAATGCAGCTTCTTGCCACTAGGCCACTAGAGCACACCAAGATTTTCATTTTTTCTACAAATACCCAACTATAAACATAACTATTGTAGCTTCTGGTTCTAAAGTGGATAATCTCCTCTTTTGTTTTGTTTACAGGTCATGCCTTGATTGTATTGGTAAAAATGTTATCATCCTAGAAAGTCAGATCTCTCTACTGCCTCCTAAACTTATGCAACAAGTATTAAAAAAGATAACATTCTGGACTGCAGCTAACCACCGAGAAGAACAAAGAGCCCAAACAGAAGAAACACAAAGATCAGTGGATCAGTAGCAATTAAGGTGTTATATGTTCTATATATTTAAAATGTTTAAATATTGTAATCAAACTGTTAAGTTTTACACTCCTTACCCCACCTTGGAGGCTTTATTTGGAAGATTAAATAGGAAACAAAAATGCTCTTTTTAGAGTTATTATATAGCATGAAATAGAAAAATATTAAATGTTAACCATCCTGGATCAATTTACATTTATATTTGTAAACTAATTTTCTTATAAGCTATATGCGGCAGAGTAGATACTGTTTTCTAAATGTAAGTACAATTATAGGACATTTTCACTTAATCTCTACTCTTTATTGAAAAAATTTTTCAAACTTGATGAGAATAAAAAGATACCTCCAAGGACTTTAGAAATCTCTCACATAATTATAAATATGTATATAAAAATACTGCATATAAATTTTTTTAAGAACAGCATTTTTTAGGTTATTTAAAATTATCTTAAACTTTTCCTTAAATAACTTAGTGGTTATTTCTGGTGGCCAAAAATTCTAAAAATAATATTTATGTAATAAAGTGTCCTCTGGCAGCATATCCACTATTTGTCAGCCCTATTAGATTAAGGGAATAAATCTCTTCCATGACCTTCCAGTTATTTCTAAATTTATTCCCTTTGTCCAAACAAGTACATGTATACCTCATGATTTAAAGATAAAAGAAGCTTCTTTATAATAAGCTTTGGAATATTGAGAAGCACTGTTATTACTTTTTGAGACATATTAAAATATATTTTGCCATGTAAGAAGAATATTTCTAAAGTAATTTGAATAAGTAATGAAATGTGTGCTAGGCTAGTAATTTGATTTTATTAGAAACTCTCAAATTGACCTGTTCCATTCTACAGAGTTGGTATTCTGGATGTTGGAAATATTTTTGTCTTCCTTTTTATTTTCAGTATCACCATCTATACAAAAATAGAACACTATATTTACATTCCTGAACGTGGTACTTCTGTCATGATTAAGATTTCTTTAATTTTTTTTAAAGTTTATCATATTTTGATGGTAATACTAAAAATTCCAGCATAATATTACAACAACATCATCTTTTGATGGTAATACTAAAAATTCCAGCATAATATTATTCTGTATGACACCATCTTAAGTTATCTCTACAATTTAAAATGTTTGTGAAAACAGTTTTCTACATTGAAGTACATAATTTATAATGAAAATTGTAGTAATTTTTAGTATCTTTAATCATTACATTTTAGAGATATATTTTATATAGGTATATGCACTGTATTTTTGATGTGTAAAGCTTATATTTAAGTATTGACATATTTTGTGTTTACATTTTATTTATTGTACAGAGTTTGGAGAACTAATATTTTCCTTATTTTGTCAATGTGAACCAGAGTTATTTGTGCAAAAACATTTTGTGTAAGTTTCATTTTTTCCTTACTATTTTCAAACAAATGATTCTCACAAGTATTACCATCTTTGAAATAATTCTTTGGAAGTTCAGTATTGACATTTTATATCTAAGGCAGGAACATATCAAAACCTATCTGGACAGTAATGGATAGCTTTAAATAGAACAACCACTTTTTTTTTTATTAAATTTTATT